TTCGCCCCTGTCTTGAAAAATTCCGTAGGTTGCCTAATCTTCCTGTCGGCCAGCATCTCAAGCTCTTCGCGATCACGTATTTCAGCCTCTCTCTTTTTATTGCGGCAAATACGTCTCGCTTCCATTTTATGTTCCCTATAACGGTCCCACATGGCTCGCGTTGCGCCCAATCGCAGCGTGGCCCTATAGGCGGCGTCCTTTTTCTCTGCGGCTTCTTGGCACTCATCGTACCAGTTTTTCATTCGGGCTCGCTGAAATCCAACTTCTTCTTCGGCGGCGGTACTTAATGAACGGGAAATGTGGTTCCACTGCTCGCGTATGTCGGATTGTTGAAGAGTGGTCTCAGAGAACAGGTATGTGATCGAGTGGCGAATAAATTGGACGTCTGTTGTGATTGCTGCTTTTCGACGTTAAGCTTCCCTTGCGGTGCGTATCTTGGCTACGACAAGATAGTGGTCCGAGTCGATGTTTGGCCCTCGGACTGTACGTACGTCTAAAACGCTTGAAGAATGCCTTCCGTCTATCACAACATGATCGATTTGGCTTCTCGCCATGTAGCTTGGTGGATCTTTTTATGTTGGAACCTAGTACTACATATGACCATGTTTCGGGCCCAGGCGAAGTCGATCAGCCTCAGTCCGTTATCCGTCGTTTCGTCGTGGAGGCTGAATTTTCCGACAGTGGCGCCAAAGATCCCTTCCTTGCCTACCTTGGCATTAGAATCGCCGAAGAATCTCGCTTTGAAGCGGATTGTGGCTAGACATTCGTCCACCGGCAGAACGCCAGTACTCGGCGACGCAGTCTCCGTCCTACCACGGAATACGGAATCAGCTAGCAAAAATCAGTATTGAATGAATTACTGGCATTTTTTCTGCCTACATTTCAGATTATTACAGGTGAAGTATTAATGGTTTTAAAAAAATCTTGCTTTGATAACACAGGGCAACACATTTGGTGGACTTAATTAATGCGCTGATCAGAAAACGAAAGTTCGTATATAGTTAGAGACTATACAGGGGCCGGTTATTTAAAGGTTAGATGAGAAAGCGGCCCTTATTATTGAAAATCTCATTTCCTCACAATTATCTGCTTAATAGTCACTGATAGTAATTTTTGTAACCGCAGATATGAATTACCACATTAGTCTGTAGCCAAGGATCAGACTAAGTTGCAGGGATGGTATTCTTAGGGATTGCAGTTGAAAGATCTGGACTCGAATCTTCACATACGATATCGTATTACTCGGCACGTAAAAATACATTTTCCGGATTATGACATATGTGAACGCACTCTTTATCCCATTCAGCATATATGACTGACGTATCACGTAATTTTCTTTCGTATAGTTTTCGATCCGTGAACGCATGTTACGATTCGAGCTCAGCCTTTAATTTAAGCTGCAACAGCACGATTTTTTGACATTTTGACCAAGTTTTTCTCAAAATCTGGAGCTGAAGCAAACTTTTATCTATGAATTCGTAATCAACACAATAAAATCTACCAAAACCAACTTTAACATGTGCCGCACCAACGTTTGCTTCCCTTTTTGTTGCCCTGTGTAAGCAATTTTTTTATTATTGATTTTCTATTTCCGATAATTTGACAGTACCTGCATCTGGCTTTTCGAAAAAGCACTAAAAATCGGGGAACATTTAACGCCATAAGAAGTTAATAATAATAATAATGGATTGGCTCTTACACAATATGTTAGTGTTTGGCCGAGCTTCTCCCCCGACTTTGTGGCGTGCGCCTTGATGCTGCAACACAAAGGGAAGGGACCTACTGTTTTACGCTTTTATTTTTATGAGAAGCTGTTTTTCATGGCAGAAATACACTCGGAGGTTCGCCATTGCCTGCAAAGGAGCTACCGCTATTAGAAAAAAAAACTTTATTGTTTATAACTTTTTGATGTTGTTTGAGCTCAAGCTTGTATGCAAAAAGATTTGCAAAATTATTTTTTCGCGCTATCTGTTAGGATTGCATGAGAACCGTAGCTCCCAAATATTTCAAAATACTTTTTTTAAGTCTCAATACCTCCTTGATTTTTTTGAGTATTGTATTATCTACCTACACCGATAGGTAAAGCCAAGCCAACGTGTTACCATAGAAACTAGATACATACATTTTCGTGGACCCCCACTTACAAGTTGTGAAGTTTTTTACGCCCACGTAGACTCCGTCGAGTAGCCAGTGGACCACAGGGGGTGCACCTGGACAACTTTGGGAATGACTGGCATAATTGAAATTGGCCAACTAGGTATATAAAAAGTTGCAATTAAGCGGAATTTGACTATATCTCGAAATCTGTTATACCTTTTTTATTTCTGACCTCGTACCTATTTCGATTCAGAAGAAAAATTTGCATAAGAAATCATTAGTGTTGGGAAGTATCGAGTACTTTTCAGGATTGAGTTCTTTGGCCACGATATTTTTAAGGATCGGGTAATTTTGAGAGTTGAGTACTTTCTTTAAATATACACATATTGGTAACATTTCACCAATTAGCGTAGAAATCACACAATCCAGCAGACCATTACTCAAATTAATATATTTATCCAAAATTACGTCAAACGAGTGGCTAAATGTACTGGGTACAAGTATTGTACTTGAAAATTTTTAAAGCATTAAAGCCTAAAATAGGTATCATGATTTGTGGCGGATTTCAATGTTTGAGCAGAAATATCTTAGGTAAACTTTTATTTGAAGTGTAAAAGGTAGTTTTTCAATTGTGGTCTCTGGGAGAAAGTAACACCGACACCCTCAAAATTTCGAGTAAACTGAGAACATCGCGAATTTTTTGCCATTTTTTCAAACGGACCTCATATTCGGGTCGAAATTAATTGCGGGTGGTGGGTCTGGTTAATGCACAGACCACTATTTTTTATGTGTCGGTACACTCGAAACTCAGCCGGTGCACCGGCACAAAAAAAGTGGTGTTTGCATTTAATTACACTCACCCACCGACATGTATTTCGACTCGGTGAATTCGAATCTGATGTCCGTTTGACTCGTATATCCCCAAAATTTCGAGTAAATTGCGAAAACCCAAAAAAATTGCAAACAATTCGCAGTTTTCACTATTTACCCGAAATTTCGAGGGTGTACGTGTCAAACGGATCTGAGATTCAGATTAAGCAGAAACAGAAACCCCAAAAAATACCGAAAGTGGAAATACCTTTTGATTAGAAATTTCTCAACACAGATCTCGAATAACAGTTCCAAGAAAAACGGTTTCTCCCAGTTACTGTTCATATCCTTCTAAAGGGAAAAGACTGTGTGATGTGTATATTTGATTTTTCAGCCGGTCATCGAAACTAATTTTTTGAGGTGAAATAATATTTCTCATGTAGTGAGATTTAAAAATGAGATTTATTATATTAGGATGGTCCAAAAATACTTCGGAAAAACTACTTTTTGTAATTTTTCCGCTGCCGCCCCCGGAACTGAAAAATCTGGGCTTCAAACCGGTTTTGAACCGAACCGGTTTTTGAACCGATCCATAGCTTTTTTTCGGACTTCGAACCGAGCCACGAACCGAACCATTTTTATTTTGAAATGCCAAAACCGAACCGAAAACCACTCCAAAAATGCAGTTTGTAAGTTAGGTAATACACTTAGGTCTCTTTTTATGAGGTTCTTTTTTTATGCGGATTTGAATATATGCGGTTTTTCAAACACTTTTTTCGCTGTAGCGATTTTTTGAGAGTTTTTCTTATTTTTTTCAATGTGTAAGAGACCTTGCTTCTGATAAACAATTTGTCTTTGTATTCTTACATACAGTCAGTTTAGGTACAGTGAATTACAATACGGGCAAATATTTTTTCAATATTTTATTTTTTTATAAAAATATGGTTAATTCTACAACAAAAAACCCAAAAAATCAGAGTTCCAAACCTTGTGCAAAATTAAAGAAAATTCGGCAAAATCTCATTCAAATATTGCACTTTTTATTTACGCTCTCTAGAAAAAAGTTGAGTATGCAGTTTTTTAGCCCATTCAATTCTAGTATAACAAAGTGCAAGTTTGAGGTGGCTAGGACTTACCATTGATTTTTAGCATTTTTTTTTTTGAAGGTACGCTCATTTTCTCTATACAAAATAATGTTTGATAATTTTTTTTTATACGGAAAAAATGTGCGACACCTTCAACAAAAAAATTTCCCAAAAATCAATGGTAAGGCCTAGCTTCCTTACACTTGCACTTTATTTAATTAATTTATTTATAATTAATAATTAGGATTTCAACATTAAGCAAAATTGTTAAAAAGTCTGGTCCCTATTTGTGGATATTTGAATTTGATCTCAATAATAAAACCTTTTATTTTTATATTCATAGATTTGTCATATTTTTGTAATATTTGTTTGTATCCTTTAGCTTTAAGAAAATTGAACCTTTTGTACCGAACCGAACCGCGGTTCAGTAATAATGATGAACCGGATCCTGAACGGGTACAAGCTTTTACTAAGCAGTTCGAACCACTTAACCGAACCGCACCGTTTTGGAGTGGTTTGCAGCCCTGTGAAAAATAACGAAAGCAAGAAGAAGAGTGTTTTGTATTTTTATTTTAGAGAATTTTATAATTTCCTTGGTACCCGTATTTTTCTACATTCTGCTGAATTTTTAAAAAACCTTTTTTTGGTTAATCAAATCCTTGAATTTTCAAAGTCCTTTTAAAAAATCCTGACGTCTGAGAAGAAAACTATGAACGCTGTTTTATAGTATTTGGCCCCTTGTTCCGCGAATATTTTGATTTTTTGTGTATAAATTGACTGTCGCATTATTGGAACTTTTAAATAATTTCTCTAAAAAATTAACATAAAGTATAAGAGTTGCATGTAAATTCTACCAGATTTCCAAATATCGAGCCTTCGTCTCATATTTCGAGGATAAATGCGTTTGGTTTAATTTAATTTGCTTTTTGGGAAAACTGATTTGACTCTAGTTTAATTTAATTTCCGTTTGGGTTAATTGAAATGCGTTTAGTTCAACTAGATTTACGTTTAGTTATATTTCATTTGCGTTTTTGTTAAAATTACTTGCGCCTGGGTTAAATAAAGTGCGAATGTGATATGCGTAAAAAAAGTAATGCATCTAAATCGATATTGTGGACTTGCCTCTGAGTCGTGTCGCAAAATTTCAGAAACTTCGTCCTCGTCGGTGTCCCGTAAACTTAGAAAGCTTCTTGTTACTCTCTTGCCGTGCTTCAAATTATCGTTACAACCACCCCACTGGAAATCTTGACCAATTCTATTCTGTTTTCGCGGACCACAAATACATTTAGTCATGCGACCTTCTGCACAAGATCGTGCGATAGTATGTGTCAAAGCAGCAGCGGTAAGAGCATGTACAAATGCTGTTTCTTTGTAAAGCTTCTTAAAAATGTTTCGTTTTCCGCGTGTTTCAATGGAACAATTCCAACGGTCGTATCGAAATTGACTTTCACAATGCGTGGTAGCTAGTCGTCGAGCTTCGAATATTGCATTTGGAAGGCCAAATTCCTTTCGACATTGATGGTTTTGGCGCCGCGTAGCAGGCATGTAAAGACATGGGCCACCAACTTGCCCCTGAGAAGTAAATACTGCCATTATAGTGTGCTCAGATATGAAATGTTCCCTGCAAATAGATATACGTATATAAATAAGAAAGGTACAATAAATGATTTAAATTCACTATAATGTTAGTTAATGATGAAGTAATAAACGGCGCGCAGTGGCGTGAACCTGAGGGTTAAAAGTGATATTTTTAAGGTTTCTCCACTTAATTCAGTTTAACTGCCAAACTACTAAACGCATATAATTTTGTAAATATGTTTTGTTAAGCTCATAAAGTAAGGTTTCCCAGTATGTTTATACCTAAGGGTTGAAAGTATCAACGCATGTTATGAATGAACCACAGAATTCATGTCTTGTCTATCACTAACGGGTAAACTTGTTAATTCATCCCATAAACAAACGAAGCTCAACTGTACCAGTTGTGACGATCGTTAAGCAGTGGGAGCAATGAGTGGTCGAAACTTATTGTTATGTGAGTTCATTGTTTCTCGAACGGTGACAGGTAATAAGATCAACGGAAATAAGGTCAATTGACTTTATTTCCCACCCTGGTGCGAAATAAAGTCAATTGATATTATTACATTTTTAAACGCGAAATAAAATCCATTGACATTATTGCTCTTTCAACATTCGCTTGCCATGTCACGCTACGCCGCGGCAATATTTCGCATTTTTATATTTGTAAGTTATTGGAAGCAGGGATGCCAACTTGGCCCAAACCGTGCCATTTGTCCCTATTTTATTTCAAATGGCATTTAATTTTTCAATTCGGCACAAAGTAAAAGCACTTTTGTAAAAAAAATAACATTTCAATACATTTTTGTGAAATCCTTTGCGTGCACTTCTTTTTCCCAACTAAAATTTTCTAATTTATAAAGGCTATTCAACTGGTTTATCTTATTTTGTCATTGCACTTTTGTTTTGGAAATGTGGCTTCATTTTATTGCTTAATGTGAATGATTAAAAGGAATGGCACCTTTTTGGCACTTTTATTTTTCTATTTGCACATTTTGGCACTTTTTTATCCTCAATATGGCACCTCATAACTAAGGATAGTTGGCAGCCCTGATTGGAAGATTTCTGCTGCGTTTTGGCAACAACTTGTCTGCAGTAAAAAAGCATATAATTTGTGTTTCAAAAGTGTGTGAAAACCAATCATTTAAATTATATGATCTCGGTTCCGATATTAAATAATCAATAATTGTTTATACCCGCATTTTGGTTCATTGCACAGTGGCCAATTTTTGGAAAATCCTGACCAAAAGATAAAAAAAAATTGGTGCATTGGTTATGAGACAACAAGTCGATTCTCTTAAGGCATTTAGTGTTACAGGAGATCGAAGTGACTGTTGCTAGCAATTCGCTCTAAACTTTTCGTAAATTAGAGTTTTCGTCGTTGTTATATTCCTGTACCAACAAATATGTATGTCTTGTTTATTGATTCATTCAAAATCCCGCAGTTCCCATGTAAATTTAAAAATCAAGCTTTTTAGAAAGAAACATTAAGACCTCCTTAGTATTTGTCCGAGCTTCTCTTCCGATTTGTGGCGTGCGCCTTGATGTTGGCGCACAAAGGGGAGGGACCAACAGTTTTACGCCGAATCCGAACGGGGATTTTATTTTCGTGAGAAGCTGTTCTTTGTGGCTGGGTGCTTGCCATTGCCTGCCAAAGGGCGACTTTATTACAAAAAACTTGTTTGTTTCTTATTTTTTGATGTTGGTCGGAAACTGGGCTTGAGCCCAGACCCTGCGGAATGATAGCGTATATTGCTAACCGCTACATCGCATTATATAACAAAAAAGCAGAAAACATGACATTTTATCCTTAACTACCTTAGTTTTGCTAAAAATTTGATTATTTTAAGCGTACACAGCAGCCATTATGGATCCGCCATTTTGAATTTCGAAATTATGTGGTGAAATTTAAAACCAGCAACCAAAATAAAGACGAATACACAAGGTTTGATTACAATTGTACCACGCTTCGACTTTGGCCAGCTTTTTCGAAAAATTGGCCACTGTGCATTGGCTCGTTGAATGTGCCATCTAATAAATAGTGTCGTCGTTCTCCTTAGCTGTAAGAAAATTCTTTTCTAAAATTGTTTCTTTATAGAAAGGGCGGTTTCTTTTCCACCTTAGACATTCCGAATTCGTTCAAAATATGCTAATTTAAAACATAGAATTCTTTCAGTGTTCCTCTGGGGTTTTTGGACATGGACTGTTTCTTCAATTTAATAGTGTTCACTTTATTTTTGTGGAAACGAAACATGTTTTGCAAGATATGGATCATTTCTACACTCTCTCTTCAAATATTTCTCGTATTCCAGCTGTACGCTGGCGTTTAGTTTTTCGCATCGCGTTTTTACATATTCGTAATTTAAATTTTTTTAATAAAATCAACTGGTGTTAGTTCATGATTGTGTGTGGATTAAAATCACCACACTGAGGATTTGGCAATAACCTTTGTCATCTATTAAAAAACAACACTTACGGGACAATGCTTATTGTAAGAACAACATTTTTTTCTATGAATCGACATACTTTAAGCATTGTTGACGCTATTTCCATTTGAATGAGGAAATAGCGTCAATGACTTTATTTCCAAATTTTTGTTGATATTATTTCGCTTTTGAAAAGGTAATAATGTCAATTGACTTTATTTCGCACCCTGGTGCGTCATGATTGTGTGTGGATTAAAATCACCACACTGAGGATTTGGCAATAACCTTTGTCATCTATTAAAAAACAACACTTACGGGACAATGCTTATTGTAAGAACAACATTTTTTTCTATGAATCGACATACTTTAAGCATTGTTGACGCTATTTCCATTTGAATTTGGAAATAGCGTCAATAACTTTATTTCCAAATTTTTGTTGACATTATTTCGCTTTTGAAAAGGTAATAATGTCAATTGACCTTATTTCCGTTGATCTTGTTACCTGTCACCTCTCGAACTGGATTTCAGCTAAAGGTGTTCTTACACGATATGTATTTGCATCTGTAAATGTGACCTTTTCAATACATATGTAATTGCGCATGCCTGCCATATTCACAGTCTTTACTTAACTATTTAAAAATACATACATACATACATATATTACTTTTCATATCAATTCAAGTCTATTACATGCGCCCCACGCTTTTGATTTTCAATCTCATAAATTGTTTATAATAGGGCTATTCGCGATCCGGTGCAAATGGCCTAGCATCATTGCATTGCAAATTTGTATTGCAAATTTTTTGCAATACACAAACAAAATACACGCATTTGCATTTGTCATGGCCTGACAAATTTGCAATACCGAAAATCCATAGCATAAAAATGCTATGCATTGCATTCATAAACAAAACCANCTGCACCGAATCGCGAATAGCCCTAATGACTTTTGGTAAAATTTCAAAATCAAAAGTTATCAAAACAAATTCTATAGGACTGAGAAATATTGTTTTCTACTTTTTAGTCCATTTATGAAAGCGTGGTATCTTAACAAGTTTTTTCATTTTATTTATTTTCTACTTTTTAGTCTTGTCTGTATAAAATTTTGCAACAGATATTAAAATAATTTAACTTGCAATGAAAAGAGAAAGCAGACTATTGCGCTAAATACACCACACAAATGTTTGCGCAATTTCAATTTCAATTTATTAGAACAAATAAGATTCTTATTCGATTCCTATTTGTAAAAGTTGGTATTTGCGCAAATATTTGTGTGGTTTATTTTGTGCATATGCAAGCAAAATGTTTTATGTACAATGATGTAGCAGATGTTCAATATTAAAATTAATATAGAAAAATTTAAGATTTCTATTTTTAAAGTTTAAAGATTGAAAGTTTGAACAACAATGAAAATTTTCTGTTTGATTGACGAACCACAAAAATCACATAAATCTAAAATTTCCAAAATTACAAAGTTGAAATGAACACAGTACAATAAAAGGTAATAACACAAATACAGACCCTACAATACTCCCCCTTCTAGAGAATTAATGTTATATAAATTAAAAGTAACTCGTTTCTTATTTGATGTTGTGTTATTCATTGTATTAGTGTTTGTTTCTGGTATTAGTTCTGTTTCAATGATTGCTGGTTTTAGTCTATCTATCGGAATTGTTTTAACCTCATTATCTACTTCAAGTTTGAAATATTTTTTGTTTTTTTCAACAACCTTATAAGGTCCTTCGTATGGTTGTTGCAATGATCTTTTATTAATAACACGCATAAAAACAAATTTACAAGTCTCCAAATCCTTTGGTATATATACACCAGTATCAGAATTTTGATTATGCCTTAAATTTGATTTAACATTTTTAAAATGTTCCCG